ACTCTGTGAAGGAAGACTGAACCAAGTCATCAAGGCACTAAGATAAGACTTGGCAGTAAGGGGCTAGGGAGACTGAAAGGAAACAGACCCATGGGAGGTCAAGGAGAAGGCAATGCTAAGTTCAAGTGAGAGACAAGATAAATACATTTTTAGGGAATGGAGAGGGGAGCATTTGGAAAGAGAGCAGGTAATCTCATGAGGGCCTGGATTGAGGCCAGCACAAGGGACGAAAATGACCCCACAGTTTATTACGTAGATCGTAGATCACCAGGCAGATGATGGCACCATTATATAACTCAGGAGACTCAGGAAGAGAGGGTGTAAGGAGAAAAGGGGGAGAGATAGTAAGATCCGTTTTGGACACGCTGAGTTTGAGGTAACTGAGATGCTGCCAGATGGTGTCATCCAGGATTCGGCTGGAAATAGTGGTTTAGAGTTGGGAGAGGTTGAAGTAGGAGGGGAAGCTCTGAGTCATCCATGTAAATGGTAGCTGAGGTCCCAGGAATGGATGAAGCTCGTCCAAAAAGTAGGCAGAAGAAAAAGGCCACTGGCCTCCTGTATGGCAGTGTCCTGGCAAAGGTCCCTGAGGCTACCCTCAAGCAGTGTGACCCTGGCCAAATGGCTTCTCTTCTTTGAGCTGAGGGTCTGTAAAAGCAGAGGGTTGGATTACATCCCTAAGAGCACCTCCCTAACAATCAACCATCAATGGTTGATGAGATATCTGCTCTGGACCAGGGACATACTTAGTGTTGGACAGACACCAGGACAGCAAGCCAATCCCTGACTTCCCAGTGGGAAAGACAGACACGTAAATAAGTCCTCTCCATATGACTTAAAAGCAAGAGCACGAGGCAGCATGAGGGAGTCCTCAGCAGAAGTGCCTGTCTGAGGGGATTCCAGCAAGGCCCTTAGAGGTGGAATTGGATCATGTCTTGAGGAAGTAAAAGAAGCTTCCAAACTAGGGCAAGGTTGCCTGCAAAGGCACTGGAAAGAGAGTGCATGTGGAATACAGGGGAGAGGCTTGGCCCAGAGACCTCAAGTGAACAGGGATAAGGGGCTTCAAGAAAAAGGAGAGCAAGGCCAGGCTGTGCAGGGCCTCCCTGGCCTGCTAAGGAGTGTGCCACAGGCCAGAGTGAGAACAGAGAATAAATGGGGTTCTCAAATACAGGAGCAACACAATTAGAGAGCTGTTTAGAGGGCTGTGTGGTAAGAGAAGGACCCTCACACTCTCAATACGTGCTAAATTCAAGCTTTGCTGTCTCAACAGCAAGATGACATCATAGGCTCTTATCCTACCTGCAAAATTTTTAACTGTGTTTTAATAGTAGCATACATTAAATCAGAAATGCTCAACATGGCTAGTTATTCATAACACCATTCAGAAAAAGGGGCAAGACTCAAGAGAGCTTAGGCATATCTAAGCTGGAGCAAACCATTTCCAAAAACTCAGTCACCAATCTCAAGATCCTCATGCTTCTGAGATTTAAGCCACTCCTAGGACTTGCTAAGGAAGTAATGACAGAGTCAGAAGACTGTGACTTTGTGTTTCACCAAATCAGACATAGGATGCCTGATCTTAACACTGCTTTTTTCCCTATGACCTCTCCACGTGACTCCTATATGCAATTTTAATTTTATGCACAGAAGTTCTGGTATCTCTTAACATTTTTCTACAAAACCCAATCTCCCAATCAATACTTTAAAACCTCGAGCCTTCCTTTTCTCTTGCTGCCAAGGAGGGGCGTACATCCTCCCTCAGGTCCTCCACCCTTAGGCTTTTCTTGGTGCCCACTGTACTTTCAAAGTGTCTTGCTGCTTTGTTCTTCCCTTCAAAAAAATACAATTTCAACCGGTTCATCATGCTTTCAAATCACTATTTACTTCTTGCTGTTGCTTGAACTTTTGTAAGAAGAAAAGGCAAAGCAGATCAGAGGTTAAGGCGCAGAGAGCTGTAGCTGAGAGAGGCAGATGTTTAGCACAACACTGAGGCTTCCGGCCCCTGAGCCTCCAAGCGCCCACACAGCTCTGCCCTCTTGGCTCCAGGGAGACTTTCCAGCATTCCTTCCTCTACTCCAACATCCTCTTACACTGGATCACTTTTTCCTTTGTACACTTCATCTTCCAGATCCCGCAAAATCACACGCAACCTGCGCGGTAAGCACACCTCCTCCAGTCCTTTAGTGAAACACTCCAGCTAGGGAATTTCCAAAAGAGGAAGCCAACCTCCTACCAAAATTTTCACCTGATTAAGCTGCTCTTTTCCCTACAGTTCACACTTCAGAAAAAAGTTTTTAGACTACCTTCTTTTTGTTCCCTTCCTTATTCCCACTGACCATATCCCAACATGGCCTTCTACCTGATTAGCAAAAAAAAAAAAAAAAAAAAAAAAAAATGGCAAGGATGGTTATGGGTTTGAGGAATCCAAAGAACATGAAAGCACAACAATGTCAAGTTTGCCTTATTCATGGGAGGACCCAGCCCACACTTACACATGTGAGTGAACATACTCTTCACATTGGACAGAGAAGTCCAAATACGGAAACTGATGGCCACCACATCCATAAAAGGTAAAGACCCTGTTGTCCTGGTTTCCTCAAAGAGATTTTTGGAATAGATGTTCTAGAAACTCAAAACTGAAAAGCAATATTTATCATCTAGCGTCTCCATTCTTCCCCATCCTAAAAGACCAAACTGGACACGATATATTCTTCAATGACTTAAAACCTCTCAAGGTTCCATTTGGCTTTACTACACCGACTTAAGAAAAACAGTCACTGTAAGAGGTCAAAGTTCATAATTCAATGCTCTTGAGACACAGAATGAAGCTCTAGATAGGGCCTTCCGGGCCCTGCTGAATTCATTATTCGATTTCCACATTCTTGGCAGGACAGGTCTCACAAACTCAGGATATTTACTGTGAAAAGAGTCCCTGGCTGAGAAAAGGATCAAATAAACAAATGAGTGAAAAACGGCCCATGCAGAAGAATTTCCAGTATTCATTTAAAAGAAAATTCAATCAATGATACCTGAGAATGACCATGCCACTTCAAGTGTACAAATGAATACAAGGATTGGAAAGGCCATTTCAGAGCACAGGGGAGGGATTCTGGAAGTGACCTCCATCCTCCTTGAGAATCACTGACTGTTAGAACCAGAGATTATTTATTCCATTATATCAATGAGAAATGAGTGACACAGAAATGAGTGACAGACCCTATAGTTCAGAGCAATTTTGAAATTAAGGCCAAATGACCTTTCTTCCTTGTCCACTTTCTTTCTTCTCACTGTGCATGGGAAGGTCCATATCCTTCCAGGCAACAGTACAAAGACAGGGAAGTCACACTCTATAGCACAGGCAGTAGCATGAGGAAGGTCTTGTAGCCCAGCAGCCATATCCATCTAGTTTCTACAGATGATGGCCCAGATGGTCACATACACCTATCTGTGCATTTCTCCTCCACTTGAATCACTGTCCCATCTGGACCAATAGGACAGAGAACATTAGTAAGGACATGCAGCAGAAATTATTCTCAAGCTTCATGTACTATGAAGGACCCAGGCCAGGGATCTCATTAAGATACAGATTCTGGTTCCGTGGCTCTGGGATGGAGCCTGAGACTCTGCACTAACAATTAATACCCAAGCGATATCAATGCTGCAGAGCCTAGGACTACACTCCAATAGCAAGGGGTAAGTGTTAAAAATGCTTGCAATCAAGCAAAATTTGGGTTTAAATTCTGGTTCTTCCATTCAGGAGCTTTGTGATTCTAGGCTGGTAACCTAACTTCACTATGCCTCAATCTCTTCATCTCTAAAATGGAAGAGAAAACACCTGAGAAGCACTGGATGATGCTTAAATAAGTTAATGACAGGAGGTTACCAACACAATTCCTGGCATATAATAAGGGCTTGAGAAATGTCAGTTGCTAGCTTCCTCTAAAATTGACCAGTGCAGGAATTATAACTGCCAAAACCACAATAGGTAGAACATGAGAGGTACTCCATGAAGGTTTAGTGGATGAATATAGAATACGCTCACACATAGTATCAGTATTTACATACTCCCTGGATTGTGTGGCTTTTCTGCAGGAAAAATAAAGCATTTTAAAATACGAGAACACTCCCTCCATAACCAACCATCATCATCTCATAAGATCAAACTCAACATTAGCCACTATGTTTAACTACCAAGAAACACATAATTTGTGGTGACTATATATAGTGGATAAAATGTCTTAACTGTAAATGAATAAAGACAACATCAGTCTGGAATCTGTACGTCATTAAGAGAAATCACTGATTTGTCTAATATTTGTGAGTTATCTGTATGCAGATGTTGTTAAAAAAATTAATTCTAAAACTAGATTCAATTCCAAACCAAAGGGATAACTGCAAAGAGACAAAACAAACCATGGGAAGTAACATTACATTTTAAAGGGCCACTGGGGCAGGAGCACAATCCCTTAGAAATGTACACACTTGCTCAGGAAAAATTAGAAACAGAATTGTTGACAAATGGGAGAGCTTAGTCTTTTAAATCAAAGGCAGGCAAATGTGTCCACCCAAAACTCTTCAACACTCTAAAATTATTTTCAGCATCTCCTACAGAAAGTGGCATCATTAGAATAGATCACATTCCGGGGAGGCATTGTACAAGGTATGCAGCAACAAGAGAATATGATTGCCACCTACAGACAGAAGTGGCATTCCCTTTGCCAAGAGCTGGCCAATCATATTTTAATGTGAAAAAAATTCAACCAAGTCACCTCCCCCCACCTACTTCCAAACCACCAGACCACATTGCTTCATTTAGAATTACTTCTAAGTCATGCAATCATCAATAAGCATGCTGCCTCTTCATTATCATCATCATCCTATTTCTAATTTCCCAGAATCGCTGTGCCATTCAACTATCTACACTGTTTGAGAGCCAAAGAGAACGCAAGCCAAGGGATTTCAAACAGGCAAAGTCACAAGAGTGGAAGGATAAATCTGCTTACCTGATATGAATGGGACCACCCGGAATATATCTGACAATCTGCTGTTAACTGGTTCATACGGGGAATCTTCAAGCAGGTCATTTCCTAAAAACAACAGAAAGACTGGGCTCAGATCTGAAAAACAGATATATTTCAAGCACTGTTTCACTGCTGAATCTAAATTCTAATTATGTTATGATTGTGTAACAAAAAGATACTAAAACTTTCCAAGATTTCAAATGCATGTATTTGGCTATGGTTATTTCTTTTCATTCCTCTGCCTTTGTTGTCCTTGTTCTCCCCAGAGTGCCATGAAAACATTGGAGAGCAACTCAGTCTGATCTTGCCAGAAAACTCTCCCACTCTTTGCAAAGGAACAAAATCAGAGAGGAAATAGCCTGTGACGTCACAAGCTTTGCTTGCCTCTAGGAGCCAATGGAAGAAAAGTAACCCAGAAGAGACCCCCCATTTCTGTTTGCCCAAAACATTGCATGTGGTCAGAAGGCAGGTGCCCTGTCTATTAAAAAGTCCATCTCTGAAACAGGTTTTATTCATAAATTTGGGAAGAAGTAGCAGCTGATAGATCAAATTGGGGTATTACTAATCTATGAGTGTGAGTCTCAGGAGAATGAATGCACAGGATGTTTGGGTTAGATTTACAAACTCAAACTCTAGCCACCTCCGATTCACATGTAAGACCAAAACTTCCCACTGGCATGGATGAATGTGGCAAGTGATCTTCCTCCTCCCTGAGCTACTTCTATGTTAACCAAGTTGAACTGCAGCAGCTGCTTCAAGACTCAGCTAATCTAAGATGACAAATGTTTTTCACACATCTGCCTTTGATCCCTTTTGAGAGGGGTAAAGAAAGAATGGATTCCACTGGACCCTCCTTTATACTTCTTTATCTTATGTCAGAATAGGTGGAAGGGAAAAAGAGGGGAAACTACAGGCAGGATGCAGGACAAGCCTTGGTATTAGTATTCTGTGAAACCAGCTAAAGCCTGGGGCCTGCTCTCCTTGGAGAGGAGCTATGGGTTCCTTGGGTGACCTTTAATTGGTTCCAACTCTGATGCTCTGAGCAAGTTTCAGATGGGTCAGCGGGGTCTTGGGGATAGCCCCCATGTCCTCAATGGGTGTTCCAGCAATCAGCCCCAACAATGCTGCTCAGCCCAGCCGCAGCAAACACCAGCTGCTGCGGTCCCTAGGGGCCAATGAAAGGTCCTCATTCCGCAGCTGGGGAGAAGTGAGCGAAGGATGAGATCAGCCGGCTCTGGGACCAAGGGGCCGACCTGCCTTCGGAGAGGGATGGGGGGCAGGGGGTGAGGGCCGTCAGTGCATACCCTGCAGGCTCTGGTACATGCTCCAGTAGATTCGCAGGCAGTTCTTCTCCTTCTTCATGCCCCTCTTGCAGCGGCAGTTGTAGAGTGACTTCTGCTTCAGGGCCTCCATAGCGCTGCGGCACTCATCCTTTGCCTCCAGGCCGGATGCCAGACTGAAGTTAGTCTCCTTGCCCGCCACGCACTGCCTCAGCGTGCGGTATTTAGTGCTGCAACTCTGTTCTTTCAGGCACTGATCGCTGGCTTTCACGCAGTCCAGGCGGTCCACGCCGCTCACCTCCGCTGACAGAAGCAAATCTGCAGGGTGAAAGGGAAGAAGCCTGAATGCCTCGGGGCGGAGACCCCCACGTCTCGGCCCGGAGAAGGACTAGCGCTGGGACGAGGATGTTTGACCACCTACAGAGGCTCCCTGGGCGGGGTGCGGGTTAACCCCCTTGTCCCAGGGGTTCCATTTTCTGGGCCCTCTAACTCCTACCGCCATCACCTCTTCCCAGATTCGCGGAGGAAGGTGGCTCAGGCTCAGCCCGTAGGTTGTACTCAGTTGGACCTGGAGCCTCAGCTGCCTAGCGTGCCCGCCGCCCCACTGCCCGGCAGAGACCAGGGCGAGTGGCTGCCCCGCCTTCCCCCGCTCAGCTAGCTCGGCCCTAGCCCGCGGGCTCTGGGTGGAGGAGCTTGGTAGCGCTCGGGGAACCAGGCGCGCTCTGGGCGAGAGGCGGGCGCGCCACGTTCTGCTGCTTGCCCGGCGGTGAGCACTGAAACGTTATCCGGAGAAAAGTTTTCCCTTCGAAGTTTGCTTTCCCTGCCCAATGTTCCCCCAGTTCACCTGCCCGCCGCGCTTCCGCGAATTCCTTGGGGCTGGAAGGGGCGTTAGGCCCGAGCTGAAGGACTCGGACCCCTTAGCTCCCCTCCAGGCTGGATCATTAAAAAACACAGGGAAGAAAAAAAAAAGGCACGAAACCCTGCTGGCAGTGATGCGTCGCCACCGATTCCCAAGCCCAGAGATTCGTGGTCCCCTTTCCAAAACGAAACTTCTTCCTCCCTCACCCACGGTACCTGCGCTGCAATTTGGGGGAACTGCCTCAAGTGACCCACAGAAAGACTTCGTGGGTTGAAAAGAAAAACAAAGCCGGCGACGGCCTCGACTTACCCAGAAGCGGCAGCGCGAAGTAGAGGGTCGCCAGGAACATTGTGCCGGCTCGAAGCTGGTCCCCGCCCCCCCAAAAATCCCGAACCGCCGCTGGGTCTCGCCGAGGGAGCTCAGCATGCAGCGATCCTCGGACGACCGCGCTCTTCTGGCCGCCCAAAGTTCAGCTCCATCCAGTGGGAGAAGAAACTCCCGGTCCGTCTGCCGCCACCGCCGCCGACTAGTCAGCTCCAGCGGTCGCAAGGGCGGATGGCGGTTCCGCTGTTAGGGGTTCAGGTCCGACCCAACCTGGAAGGGAGAGAGCGCTTTGAAATGAGAGCCCAGAGAGCTGAAGCCTCTCACTACCGCCCCTCTCCCCTCCCCCCTCCCGCTGTGGGGGACTTTCCAACGCCACGGTAAGGACCCCCCCAGAAGCGCTGGTCTGGACGCGGGGGGGAAGCATGTGCGTGTATTCCGGGAGGGTGGGGAAGGCGCCGGAATGGGAGATTGGGGGTTGGAGAGGTCGGACACTGGCTCCCAAAGTCCAAGGGGATGACTATCCGGCACAACCCAAGAGGCTGCACGCAAGCAAACAAATAAACGTTACTTTCCGAGCGCTGCGAGCGGAGCCTGCAGCTTCCCGGAGTCGGAGCCCTCGGCGGAGGCAGCGGCGGCAGCGGCGGCAGCAGCAGCAGTAGCTCCCTATCCAGTCCGGGCGCGGAAAGAGCCCCTTCTCCCGGGAAGTTAGCCGCCCCCTCCTCTTGCCCGCCCGCTAGCTAGCTTGCTCTGCCGCCAGCCCTCCGCATGCAAACCACCAATCGCTACCCCTCGTCGCCGAACTCCCCCACCCCAGCCCACCCCCCGGGCTCGCCTCCTTTCTGAGGCTGGCGGGCGAGAGGCAACCGGCGTCCGGGCTAGGGCCGAAACCCCGTTCTAGCGCCCCTACCAGCGGTGCGTCTTCCACTCCCTCCCCAGTGTCAGAGCCTTTTACCCACTCACCCAGTGGCGAGTATCCACACCACCGCCCTAGGAGAGCGTGCGGGTCCGCAGCACCCGCGAGCACTGGCAGGTGCAACCCCACGCCACGAGCGCCCCCCGGGCCCCAAAGTTGGCGGACGTCTGCAAGATGAAATGGAGTGGCTGGAGCGAAAGAGGGAGTGAGCGGAGATGGGTTTCCAAACAGAACCAGAAAACTCCAATACCACCAACCTGGACCCAACCGACCGCGTCCAGCTGCGGCGAGGAGCCAGTTTATTTGTTTATTTATTTATTCTTTGGGGGAGTGTCCCCTCCCCCTCCTCCCTTTCCGGGCCCACTTTCTCCACGCTAGGAAAAAATGATGCGGTAATCTTCTAGAGCTCGGCGGGCCGAATTGGCCAAGACGATTTCCCAGCAGAGCCCATGGTTCGGATGTCCATTAGGGATGTTAGTGGTTATTGGAAGCAGCGCTGAGGATGGCGTGGCCAGATTTCTCCTGGCCAAAGGACCCTCGGCCTGTTTTTGTTCCCACTGCCCCGCAGGACAGCCCAGCCCCTTCAGAAACTCGCCCACACGACCGCGGCAGATGCACACGCGCCGGCGGCTGGATCCTGGGCCGACCCGCACGCGCGCGCACAGGACACGCAGCGCTATGCAGTGGGCCGGGGGCGCAGACACACACACACATGCTCACATACACACATCTTTCCCTCTCCTCTTCTCTTGTCTTCTTCTTATTCTTCTCTCTCTCTCTCTCTCTCTCTCTCTCTCTCTCTCTCTCTCTCTCTCACACACACACACACACACACACACACACGCACACACACACACCCATACACACACACACACACTCATACACACAAAAGGGCACAATGCACAAGGGCTCTTTCTTAGTGCAATGCAGCCAGACCCTTCTGAACACAAAGTTTTTCCCCCACGCCACTCGCAGCTGTGACTCAAGACTCGGCGCGTTAAAGACACAAGCCCCCGGAGCGGCGATCATGGGATGCACCCACTGGTTCATCCGTGCCAGGGTATACACATTCACATATGCACAAACAGTAGCTACCTCTCTCCTCCAAAGCTTGGAGACAAAAGCAGAGCCCCAAACCCATTTAAGCGTTTAAGCTTGGTCAGACCCGGCTTTGGGAAATTTATAAGGTGACCTCCATCTTGGCTGTTTCATGAGTAAACTAAAAAAAAAAAAAAAAAAGCCGAACATATATACACAGTCCTTCACCCCAGCTTTCCCAGGCATGAACCCCCTACTGCTGTTGGACACATAAGCTCTCTTTCCAGCACGCCTGGGGGAGTCCAGTGCACTGGGTCTAGAGATCTGGTCTGAGAAATAACTCCCTGTGGTGGGTGGCCGTCTGGCCGCTCAGGATTTGTATTCGATATCTTTGCTGATGTACAAGTTCATCTCTCAGGGAAACAGATTTTGAATCAAGTCTGTGTGAGCCCAGCTGTCAAATCTGTAAACCTATCACACCAGACAATGGGTCGCTGCGGAACACAGAAAATAAATGCTCGTTTTGATCCAGGAGGGTTAATTGAAAAGGGCACGGTCTTCAGTTGAAGTTTGAGGCCATGGTGTAAGGGCGGGGAGAAAAGGAGGAGGAGTGGGTAGCTCTCTATTCAACTACACATCAGCCAGGCGCGCCCTTCAGCTGCGGTGGCTGCTCGCGCATGCTGCGCATTGTTCAGAGTCGCCCTAGAGTGTCTGAGCTTCAGTGTGCGCCTCAGACCCCGGGGACGTCCCACCAATCCATGATCGTCTTCTGCTGCGCACGTGTTCCTCAGGAGAGGTATGAAGAGACTGATGCGCTCATGAAGGGCCCCTCCCTCAACACACACCACAGTAACACCATATGCAGATTTCTAGTTCAGTGTATCAGTTTACACTTGGTTGTTGAGTAAACAAAGCAAACATATGTCACATTTTCAGGACAGATGGTCCAAACCAAGGGCTACTTAAGTTCTCTTTCCCTATCAGTAGTAAGTTACAGGGTAGACGAACTGATAATGTAATTAAGTCTTCCAATCAGTCTCTTTAACTAAAAGAATTTTATTATCATATATTCACACACATATCAGAAAAATTCTGGGGAGGTGTTTTTAGTGAAAGGAAGACTGAAAAGAAATTAAAGAGTTTATCTAAAGACTCTTGTTTCTCCATGGACACCCCAAACATAAAACCCTCTTTCATTGTTCCATTTTGTAAGCAGAAAATGAATGTTTTCCTTTGGGAAATCAGTAATTGGAATTCCAGTTTTTCCTAGATAGACTGCTTATCATTGCTTGGATGGTTGAATGACAATGAGGTTTCATTTAAAACATCATCCACATCATTTGTGTTCTTTGTTTAGAAAAAAAAGGTCCATGTTACCCTATGTATTTTACAGAATCTTTTAAATTAAAATTTTTAAGGGTAGAAGGGTGAACTGAAAGTTCTCCAAATGTAGAATAGGGAAACTCTTTCAAAATATTTATAGTTTCAAGACTATTTCAGATCCACTCCCTTACACTATCCTCAGTAAGTTCTTACTGGTGCTGAAAACAGAACTTTGTTTTAAAACTAATAATAATAAAACCATCAGCCACTACAACTATGTTGTCCAATAGCCATATGGCTATTTCAATGAAATAATTAAAATTAAATGAAAGAGAATTGTAGTTCCTCAGTAGCACTAATCAATAGCCACATGCAATCATGTTGGATGGCACAGATATAGAACTTTTCCATCATCACATAAAGTTCTAGTGGACAGCACTGGCCTCCAATGTTGGTGTGAAAATACTTAATATGGTGTATACATTAAATTCTTAGGATAGATTAGTGCCAGCATAGAGTGCTTTATAAGTAGCAGCAGTAGGAAGAGTTATTGTTTTGAGGATAATGATGGTGATGTTGATAATGATGAGGATGCTTTGTTACTCTGTTGGGGAAGTCAAAAAAGACACAGCCCATGCCTGGTATGTTCTCTGCTCAGAATGAAATCAGTAGGCCAAAAAAAGCCAAGAATTAGAGAAATGGATATGTCAACATCAAAAGCTCATCTCCCAGGAGAGTTATGAATGGAGAGAAGTGTCCTCCACTCTAGCCTAAGACTTCTTGTAGTAGGCGCTAATTAAAGAATCACTACATTATAACTATATTCACCAACTTTTAAGGGTGGGAGAAACACAGCCAGGAAGGCCTTGGAATATAAAAGAAAAACATTGTGATTTACTAGGTTAATACTGTGCATGTTTCCTTGGAGCTTATCTGTTCTCATGTGTACAGGACTGATCTCAGGATGAAAGGTGACATCAAAATATCAAATATTAATAATTTTAAAGGTTCATGCAGTCCTTTGTGATGTGTTTTCTCAGCAGAAAATTGGTTTTAATGCTACAAATTAGTTTCAATCCACCCATAAGCACATGAAGTGAACAATCTTCTTGTATTTCTTGATGCAAGTGTTTCTTCATAAGTTAACAGATGAGTCATGTTAAGAATGACAGTTTTATTCCAAGAGACATTTTGTCTTTTACTTTCATTGCTTTGGCCTTATAGAATGCTGTGTAAAATACATTCATTTTGTAAAATTAGACTCTCCAAATTCATCAGGAATCTTTAACTCGAACTAGTCCATCAGTGTGCATCATTTGACATCAGACAGTTTGACAGACTTACCTCTACACAAATCCATTCATCAGTCTCCAGGTATGCTATGCATTTATTTAGTTTTTGCTGCTATGCTTTTGTCCATTCGGTTCCATCTGCATAATATGTATTTCATCCTGATGTTTTCACATTCGGTTCAACTGAATAAGCCAGTAAGGATGGCAAGACCCCTTCCTTCCCTCAGAACTAACAGTTCTCTATAGCATGGTCCATGGCCCCACTGAAATCTCTATCAAGTCTGTTGTGACACTGCTTTGTAGATAGTTGCTCTACCCCTTCTCCTCAATTGGAATATGAGCTCCTTGAAGGCAAGGAGATATTCTAGTCATTTTCTTTGCATTCCCAGCTTTTACACTGATAACTGACAAATGGTAACCCCCAATAAATGCATATTTTGATTGCACAAATAATGAGTGATGCTGCTCTTCATTTTCTGACACCACACCATAATTTTACTGACGATTTGCATGAAATACCTTTACTCTATGAGCAATACTAAATATAAGTACCTCATACAATTACTGGTATTTCTGTTCCAATAATAGTATCAAATATGTATTATTCCTTTGGGGATTTGACATTTAAATTAAAAAAAACCCATTATTGTAATAGAATGCTCTTTTTCTGGTTCACTTTAATAGTAACATATGACATATTTCATTTCTGGGAAATGATAGCTTGCCTTAGGTCATATTTTAAGGCATAAAGCCAGAAGCAGAGTAACATTCCCACCTGAAGTTCTCTAATCATCTAGAAATGTGCCTCTCTCTGGGAGAACGGCCAGATTACAACCACCCTGGAGCCTTCATCTTCAAAGGCAAATTTTTAAAAGCCAAATTGTCCCCAAAATGTTAAGAATTCTTCTAAAAACACACAAGTCCTCTTGCAATCTTTTAGGGAAAAAGAAAATATCAATCACCTAAACCCGAGAGCTGGCATAAGGGTCTCTATATGCTGACACAGACACCCCTTCTTAGGCTCTGCATTGACACTTGGCCTTTGGCAATACAGGAAGAGCCTGTTGTTCTCAGATTTCAGAGACCTTTTCCAGGATGACTATATTAAGATGTGTCTTTTGAACACCATTTGCAAATGGAAGTTTCTTA